AAAATCCACTTATGAGTACCTTGATATGATTATTAGCAGTTGAATTTTGTTCCTAACTTCGTCAATAAATAACACTGTGTTACTATATATTATATCCTCTGTGGAATGATATTCATCAAAGTGCCCAAATTCAACTATCATATAAGAGACACTTTGTTAAATTTTTATCATGATCTCAAATGATCGATGTTTTAGGAAGTTGATAAGATGTTGATATAATTTTGAGGAGAACAGTCACCGAACACATCAAGAAAATGATCACACAGAATGTTTTAAATAATTGTTAACTATGTCATGAATTGGCAGAAGTTAGGATTCATGGAATGGCCATTGGATCGGGTCCCAATGGCTTAATAGTGTACGACCTAGCTCGTTTTGTAACCAGAAGGTCCTGGGTTCGGACCACTGGCAGTGGGTGCATACTGCTGGAGAGTCCCAAACGAGGACGTAGGAGACAGCTGTCTGGCAGTACTCCCAGCTGGTTTTCCAATGGTTCTCTAACTGATATCAGCTCATGATGAAATCCTCCAACCAATCAAACTACACTCCTACAAAATCAATACTTGAAAATTAAATTAAATAACATTAAAATCTTGTTCAAATTATTATTTTTGTTTTCCCGTCTTTATATGCCAACTTCGTAGTAAATCTTGACGCCTTTTACTTTTGATAAGTAGTTGTAAATGTTTGAATGAATTTCTCAAGATAGTTATTAAGTAAGAAAACTTTACTTGTGGGTTTGATGTACTTTTGTTTCGACTTTCTCACTTTGCAGTTCAATGATAGTTCAATAGTAGAATATTCACCATCTACGCTTCACATGGTCCGGGGTTCAATTGCCGGCCAAAGCATTGCTAAAGCTCGCTTAGACAGTAATAAACCTCGCAAGGAGAGAAAATTGGGCGGGAAACTAACAACCACACCTCGTGAAAACCCTATTTTCCACTAGAAAAGCAAGGGAATAAAAAAAACATTAAATGACATGGAGTTCCATAATTTATGCACCTGACTGTATATGTCCTATTGATGCATAAACCTACCGATAGCTGCATTTCCATTACTATCCAAAAGGTTATTCAGAGAATTATATTGAGTATATTTCGATGATTATTACGGACAAGCTTTTGTGGGAACATCATTGTGTAATAATAAAGTAACAGGTCAATTATGAGATTTCTTAGTATGATTCTAATTTTAGTGTCGGCATCAATGCGTCTTCTTCTACATTAAAACAATTAATTATGTTAAGAATTTAAATAAATAGTTTTCAAGTTTGACGACGGACTGACATCAGTTACAGAACCACTGAAAACCATCAGGCAGTGCTGGATAGCTTTTTCCTTAGTCCTTGTTTGTGAAACATCAGCAGTACGCATCCACCGCCAGAGTTCGAAGGATATGTACTTCAGCCACTGGGATCCGACCCAGTGGCGCGTGATTTCTAACTACGACCAAATCATGATTTTAGCCCGGTCACCAGCTAATGCCTACTGTCAGTGATTCCAGAATTAGGATGGAACAGCTGTTCACTACTCCCTGGTCCCCACTAGTTCTCTAAATGATACCAATCCGTGGTCAAACCTAGAAAGAAATTAAATCCCTTCAAAATAACTCTTGAAAATACCTTCCAGTTTACCCCGATGCCATTTAGGGATGAAAACGAAAAGAAACTTTACTGTTATTTATCGGTTAAGCTCATAATTCATAGGTTCTTTTCCTACATTATCTTTATTGCTAAATGGATTAGCCCTAAGCGAACATTTGATGACAGAAATGCCTTAAGCCACAAAATGTGGATTTAGGCCGTGTTTATTGTGACACTCAATTTTTAGAAAGGAAAATACTTGGTGTAATTTATCTCACTAATATCTACGATTTAAATATCTGAACCGAAAATACTGCACCTCCATACACTCAAATTTTTACTGCTCATTGAAGATGATACCCTTTAGAACGATCGCCTTTTATAATATTTTCGAATAAATCATAATTATTCAATTTGTAATAAACACTCCTGTCTTAAAAAGTGTGACGTCTTAACTAGTGGGATCCACTAGGTCGGGCAGCAGGATAAACACTCGATGATGACAATGGCTAGTGCTAGTTGCGCTACAATCACAAATTGGTAGAAGATATTAGTTGACTTGGTTTGTATATTCCAGAGATTTTCAGTTATGTGGTGACTGTGTTTCTCTGGATTCCGTTTATCCTTTTCGTTATCAGTCATTCAATCCTTGGAACATGGTTATTAAACAAAAAATAGTTTCACTACTTTTTCTTGGAAAAATGTAGCTTTAATTTATAAGAATTTTTCAAGAATTTTTGAAAATTTTCATCCCAAAAAACGTTCTGATCTTATGTATGTGATTCCTGTTTGTTGCACTAGACATCAGCTTAATAATAGTGTTATTAAGAAGAACTTTTTTTCTGTAAATGAGTGTACGAAACCACCTGCAAACGTATATGACGTTGAATGTGAACATTCTGAGAATGTCATCTCGTTTTGGTTATAGGATTTCATCATGAGCTAACATTGGTTAGAGAACCATTGCAAAACCAGCTGAGAGTACTGGACAGCTGATTCCTTCTTCCTAGTCTCTCTGGACTCTTCAGTAGTACGTATACGTCGGGGATCGAACCCAGGACCTTCTGGTTACAAGACAAGCTAGCTCCTAGACCAATAAGCCACTGAGACGCGATCCTGTTTTAAGTGAATTCTTCTAAGCTAATTAATTATTTATTGAAGGAAGCTGTTATTTGCTTCATGTAAATTTATATCTCATCCATTACTTTGCGTTCTGAAAGAAAACGGGGTTTCATATGTGAGCTACGAAATTTCAGTAGCACTTACGTGGCATGTGCTACTGACAACATTTATCAGTAGTACATAAAGAGAAGCTCATCGGCAAACAAAAATATCAAATGGTGAATACATAGATTTGACGCCGAAGAGAGCAAATGAAGCAGTACTGTGGCGAAAAATGGGACATACGAAAAGAAGACCAAGAAACACAATGCGAAGGACAGAAGTGATTACGTAAAATAGTAATAATAATGGTAGTATGAAATTATTACTTATCCGACTTATCTGTATTGCTGAAGCCATCTTTGGCCACCGAAATAGAGAAGCTAGATCTCTGTTTACAGAAAAGGTTAGTTCGACCCACTCCCCACTAATCATATGTCGGTTTTTACGAGTTGGTCGCAGATTGATATCAGTTAGAGAGTCATTAAAAATCAGGGAGTACTGGACAGCGTTTTCACCCCAGTTTGGGAATCATCGGCAGTATGCACCCACTGGGGTTTGAACCCAGGACCTTCCAGTTACAAAGCAAGCTCGTACACCATTCAGCCACCACCAGGTCCCGATTCAATGGCCATGCCATGAATTCTAACTTCTACCAATTCGTGATTAAGCGCGACATCCATCCTCACACGTGACAACTGGTTGAACCTGACTAGTCACGACTTCTCACTAGAACTTCAGGAAACTCCGTCTTGTAGCAATTCACTCGCGAGCATCAGATTAATTTTTTATAGTTTGGTTTGTAAGGGTTAGTTTCAATTTTACGAGTTGAGGATGAACTGATATTAGTTAGAGAACCACTGGAAACCTGGAAGTCCTGTCTTGGAACTACAGTAGGTACGTACTGCCGATGATTCCCAAACTAGGGTGAAACAGCTGTCTAGTACTCCCTGGTTTTCAATAGTTCTCTAACCGATATCATCTGTGATCAACTCGTATAAACAAAACTAACCCTTACAAACCAAACTATAGAGCATATATTGGTTTTACTTATTTTTTTCGTTTTGTTTATTCAATTTGTATAACTCTCCTTTATTGGTTGCATCAACTGTTACTATTGTTGTTCCCACTTTGAATTGTCCGCGGTATTATTTCTCATTTGTTATTCTAAATCAATTTTGTAGTGCAATGTTAAATTCTGTTATCAAATTGCATACAATGTTACGTAACTTTTTTATTTTTATTCTATTTGCCTACTAATCTTCTAATTTCATACCACTTCTAATTTCTATATATCCTATGAATGTTTCTGCCGCTCGACATTTAACCATGATTATAATCCCAAACGCTTTAATTGTATTTCATACTCCTTTGATTCAACTCTCTCACCGGATATAATTTATTAAAAAAGGGCAGAAGTAACACAGCACAAAAGATTTGTGCAAGTGACGATTTCCAGATAAGGCGTTCATAATTTCCCCATGTAAAGATATCAAATTCCAAATAAATGTTCTTCAAGAATTGGAAACATTTATTTCCCGATAAGAATTTAAAACAAGCAATAAAGGTTATTAAAGCAGGATTTAATGAATTCATCAAATTTCGGTAGAACTCGTCAGCTGAATACTCTACATACACGGATATATACTTTTGAAATTACATTGGGAGATATAGGACTGATAAGTAAATAAACTACATTGAATTAGTCATGCAGAAAGACAGGTGCGAATGTTTTTCCAGGTCATGTTCAATTAGATAAGGGGAGAGAGAGTATGAGAGATCAAAATTAAGATAAATTGCGTTACGCTTCAATTACATCACTTAGATAAACAATTAGACATTAGAGAATTTAACAAGAATTGCAACCAGAGGGATGTCAATAGTAATAGTTATAGTTACCGAAATTTGATGAATTCATTAAATCCTGCTTTATTAACCTTTATTGCTTGTTTTAAATAAATATTCCTTTACCAAGTCTCTTGTCTTCTATTGTTACGAGAGTACTTTGTTATGGGATGAGGTTGCTAGCTTCCTATCCAGCCCCCCGTCTTTACAGAACTTACCATCGGCTAAATGGAGTTCAGGAGTGAGTCGGCCACGGATATGATGTGATGCCGTCGATGAGTGTTCTACCAACGGAATGTTCCTCTCAACGCATAAATTTACATTACGCAATCAATAGTATGGACACCATGAGGATAAAAAAAATTAATTCATAAATCACATTATTATTATTATTACAAAATAAACTAACCTTTAAAAAGTATTGCTAATTTCCATATACTGACACAACCTTGACGAAAATACTGCCCAGCTAATAACTCCATATAAAATAGCGGGACAGCACAGAAAATTAACATTACTAAATAGGCAATAAGGAATGCTCCACCACCATGGATATAGCACAAGTAGGGAAAACGAAATACCGTAGTCAAGTCGACTGCAAAACTTATACTTGATAAAAGAAAATTTAAACGAGACGACCATTCTGTTCTTTCACCGCCATCATTTTCATTTTTAGCCTCGGTGGGATTAATATTTTTATTCGGAGTAGTACTCTGAAGAGAGGAGGATGATTTACTATTCCTTGGCTTCTTGTGACCAAAATAAACATGATGTGGATTGTTTTCATCATCAAATTCACTAGTGATAGATGGATTTCTTGGACGAACTGACACCAGGGATACACTACTCTGTAATACTTGTGACATAATCAATAGGAATTTGTCAAGGAGGTGTCGAATTTCTCGTTGGAAAAAAACAAATATCAATTTTATCAATATAATATTTGGCGTTAGTAGAACACGTTTGTCATGATCAGGTGAAAATATTCGACACTAGGGGGTGCTTGTCTGAAATATATATGTTGCAAGGCATTGTTTAAATAGTGTTTAGTGTGCGTTACAATAAAAAAAATACTGTTTCTAGACATATGAAATTCTAATTAGTGGACTCAGTTTTTTTCTTTTTACGCTTTTTTTGTAAACTTTGTGATAAAAATAGTTTCATTGAAAAAAAACACTTAGTTCTCAAATGAAAAGAAAGATTACATTGGTAACATGTGTACACTTGTAAAGTTGTGAAATCACATAGATAGGCTTCTGTACTTTCTTGTTTTTAGAAAAATCGATATCCACGTGTCTGAGGTGTGTGCTGTTGGGTATATTTGTATGTATTTATGGTTTTATCAATTGAGCTGAAAAGTTGAAGAATAAAAACGTAGTGCATGATGAAGTTTTCGGGAATATTTATCCAAAATGTCATTCATGTAATACAGAACATATCGTTAACGTGTGGGCGTTTTTTTGAAAGAAAGTTTGTAATTGTTGTTCAGTGATGGTAGATCTGTGGTTCTCTAAGTGATGTCAATTCATCGGCAAACTTGAGGCGAATCAAAACCCTTGAAAATTAATCTGATGCTTGCCTGTGACTGACAATAATAGGAAGTTGCCTGCAGTTTTAGTGGGAAGTCGTTACCAGTAGGCTCCATCCAGTCGGCAGTGAGGAAGAATAGTTCACCGACGATACTGTTTGGTAGTTTCGTTAAAAACCATGAGTCGTGGAGTCGGGTTCCAATAGCATTCCTTGCAGCCGGAATGTCTTAGATTCGAACCCACTCCTGTGGGTGCGTACTACTAAGGAGACTCAAACGAACATGGAAGAAACAGCTGTCTACTACTCCCTGGTGCTTTTCATTGGTTCTCTAAATACTTCCAGTCGTAATAACAACGTTAGCCATAGAGATAATAATAATCTAATTGTGAAACAAAGTGAAACTAAAATAAAATAAATTTTAAACCTGTCTAGGAACACTTTATTTGACAGCATCCAGTCCTCAATGACTTTCCGGTGCATCAGTTAATTGGCTGTTTTGGTAAAATAAGAATAAAGCATTTCACAAACTATCTTCTCTTGGATGCACAAATTTGAAAACAAATTATGAAATTGTCAAGATTTCTGAAATTTGGTATGAATGAAAAATCTTTGTTCACTTTTTCCAATAATATCAGGAATTTAAGCAATTTACGACGATCACGTAGCATAAAAAAATGAATTAAATGACTTCTATTACGCCTTATTAACGCGTGCTCAAAAGTGCGGTATAATGTAAATAATGAAAGAAAGCTGTTTCGCCCCAGTTTGGGACTCTTCATGGGTGCGCAACCACCACAGGGGTTTGAACCTAGAAACTCTCGGTTACAAGGCTAGCGGGCTCGTAGACCATTGAGATTAACGGCCTAATGGCCTGCAAGTGCGCTAGCCTTGTAACCAGAAGATCCTGGGTTCGAACGCCAGTAGGGGGGTGCACCTCCGGGGGTTTAATTGTATTACTTTCTTGCTTCACCCCCTACTAAATTTCCACCTCTTATTGCCACTGGTGTTAACCTGACTCCCATTCAATTTAAGTTGAATTCTACTCACTCCCGTCAGTCAATTTACTCCTTTAATTTCTATTTGGTTTCTGCTTGATTAACGCGTTTTTTTTAAAAACTCCGTCGTAATTTTTTAACCTAAATTTTTTTACAATTCTAATGTCACATCTTTGCAAATATTCCTGGGGTTGAAAATATTTCTTTCTTGTAGAAAGTTTAAAACAACCAACAACTGTGAAAATAGGCAGTATTTAAATGAATCCATGAATTTCGGTAGAAGGACTCGTCAGCCGAATACTCCTCTACAAACATTGTTATTTATACAGTCTTCTGAAAGTTAAATACCCGCAAACATATGAACATTATGACAAGAAGTAAGTATCACAATTATCATGCGTTTGCATAATTATAATACAATATTAGTATCAACAGTTATGTGTTTCTCGACGAATTTCTGAAAATCACCCCGTGTGGTTACGTAAAAGACAAACAAAATCTATTCGTAGCGCTATTCTATCTCATCTTGTGGATACAGAACAGAAGACTGATGTTAACCAGGCTTTCAAAGTCATTTACCTCATACTAACAAATCTTTAATTCGCATTAAGAGTTCGACTACCAAATATTGTTGAGGCTGGCTGTTGGGATCCACATTAAGAAGCCTAACTTATGTATTAAAAGAAGCTGGTTCAGACATTATCCTTACCTTGCCCGTCTAAGTTCAAATGATCCTCAATTTTTGTAGAAATTTCCCTCATTTTAGTTGACATTGTATTTGCTGTTGTATTTTTATTATTATTATAATTTTAGTATCTTTAATGAACTATAATTGCATTGATCTTACTTTACAAAACGATATTATTTAAAAAACACCAATATTTTTATTGACTACTATTCTAGAATATTCTATGTATATAAAGTTGTGTATATAATTGTAGAGCCAGAAGAAGAAATTATAGAAAAGGATATGCTTTGCTCAATTATTTTGGATATCGTAGATAAGAAACCTTTATATCTTAAGATAATTTACACGGTGGAAATTGCAGGTGACATTCTAAAATGTCGACTCAACAGAGCAGTAGAGAGAATATTTCCGGCAGTTTAATTGGTATTCAACTTCTCAACTAAACCAGTACTCACACACAAGGATAAATTACCAAAATTGTCCTCATCAATGTGTATCTATGAATTCAACTGCTTATGTGGAGCTAGTTACACTGGCTGTATTCAGGGGGCTTATCCATGCGCGCGCTTGAACATGTACCTGTATGATTGAGTAAAGGAGTAACCAGAAGCGTAAATAGTGCACTCGTAACCCACTTGGTCGATACTGCACACTAGATAAAACTTGACGAGGCGTTCTCAGTTATTTACCGCGTCCCTAGTAATCCATCTAAAGGAGTTTGACTACGTCTTCTAGCTGAAGCGGCAGCAATCAATACTAGAAGACCGACTCTTTGTATACAGAAGAAGTATGTTCAACAGATATGTTCACCTTGACCTAAAATAAGGCCAACAAATCCTGCATAAACATTAGCACTTCAAATTCCCATCACAATTTTCTTTTCTTCTTCTTCTATTCCTCTTTTTCATTGACTAATGTTCATTTTCGACTTTTATGATTTCATGACCTTTCTTATGATTTTTTTAAGTAGTGCTTTTCTAACTTGTTATCGTATTTACAAAATCCTGTTCATGTCACTTCACTTAATTCATTATTATTATTATTTGACAATCATTCACCAATGATACTTTTAAGTTTACACCACATCATCGTTATTATTTTACAATCATTATTATTGTCGTTATTTTCAACCTTGAACTTGTGTCTAGTCCGTCCCATTCGTTGGTTTATTTTCTGTAGTATTCATACTGTCTCACACACCCTGACTACACTCAATCTCGAAACCTGTACTGTTGTTGACTATATTTATATATACATATATATGTGCACACACATCATTAAGTTATTTCATTTCATTTAATCTCATGATCTCAGTGACCATGCATATTAAAAACTAACTGACTATTTTTCTGAATCGTGTAATGTATTTGCGCGACACATTTCGAACAATCGGATCACACACGGACTTGTCATAGGAATATATATGAAATTAATAAAGAGGTAAGAGGTGAGAAAATAGACTTAGGTCAAGTTAAAAGGACATAATGAAGGTTAAAATAACAATGAAGTCCACTAAACCAGGAAGTAATATTCTAGTCGATAAATAAAGCAGTTTCAGAGAATACAGGCAATTTTCATGTTCGATCGCGGCTGATTGATGACCGATCTTCATTAGCATAAGTATAAAAAATGGACACTGTGGTAGAGTATAACTCCATTATAGGTAAGATTTCATTTTGATAAAATCACACAGTGGTCTTATATAGTAATATTTACTGACGACCACATTTCGAGCAAAAATTATTGCTGCTCATAATAGTATCAAGGCATAATTCAAAAAATACCGTACAGTGACTGTGAGGTCAACCATTTAGGTCAAACTAGTAGATCGGGGATAATCAGGTTGTCGGAACATATGAATTTAGCTAAGGTTAGAATGGATGATCTCGAGAAGACAAGTAATTTTTAAAAAAACTCAGCACTGCATTGCAGTACATGCATTAACACACAACCACACAGTGCTGTGGGTGAGAAAGAGTTAAAATTCAAAGGAGGAATATTGATAGGTGGAGAAAGAGATTGATTACTGAATCCTGGTTCATCGAGTCTACACACACCACACATACAACAGAAATGACTGAATGCAAATACCAGAGATATGCATGCAAGATATTATTATCACCACTCAGTCAAATCAGAGGAGGATAATAAATAATCTCAAAATTCTATTTCACTTCAAACACATCACAACATTCTATCAAGTTACCTATTTTGACTATAAAAACATCTTATTTCCCATCTTATTGTATTTTGTTGATAACACTGATATTCGTTCCGAATGTACTCTATCTTATACTGATTTTTATTCAATTATCTAATCGATTCCACAAATGTATATAAATGAAGCAAGGAAGTTGTGTGAGTGGTGCTTTGATATGATTATGAGCAATAGTTTGTGCTCGAAACGTATTCATCAGTTAATATTACTGTATAACACCGCTGTGTGATTTATCAAAATAAATTCTTATCCATAATGGAGTTATACTACACCACATTGCCCAAGTTTTATACTTATATCATCAACTAGGCTGTACTGGTGTGTATTTACAGTAAATCGGTGAGAAAGTTCCGGAACCATTTCCTGTCATGGGTGAAATTAATAAAATCGCAGAGTGTAATAAACAGGAAGATTTGATGGAAAACACAGCAGTAC